CCTTGGAAGAAGATTGGAAGATGCTAGGGTGTTTCTTCTCTACTCTCTCTACCTCAGACAATATCTCTGACAACAGTCCTGTCTCCTCTGTGGCTTCAGCTCCTACAGGAGGGGCCATGAGCTTTCGGCTTCTGCTGAGTGACCCTGACCCCAGGGCTCCAGTGTCAACACCTCCATTCTTGTCCCCATAGCTTAAGGATTTCCTGCCATCACTGAGTTCCTGGATGCCTCGTGCTCTCCTATTTAACTTCACACCTTTTCCTTCACCTGAATAATCAATTCACTGCATTACAATCCTTCTGTTTAAATACTTGGACTGGTGTATATTTTCCTGGATGAACCTTAACTGATATAGCTGGAATTTAGTGGGTATTTGCTGAATTTTAGTATGTAATTTTAAACCATCTTCGATGTGGGCATCTCTTTTTTGAGTGCAACAGAGGTAAGTCATATATCAGTTATCTAGTACATAATAGCATTCCTTGGTGTTACCTAGGGTAGTAACAAATTACCACAAAACTCAATAGCTTGAAACAATTAGCATTTATTAGCTCATGAGTCTAAAGGTGGCTGGGTGGTCCTTTCAGCCCCAGTTGGGCTCACTCTTGCATTTGTGGTCAGCTGAATGTCAGCTGGGTGACTTTGCTTATCTTGGCTGGGCTTTCTCATATGTATAGGGCTTGCCTAGTCTAGGCTGATCTAGGGTGGCCTTGGTGGAGATGAGTGATGTGAGTCAACTCCATTATATGCTTCTCATCCATAAGAGGCTAGCTCAGGCATGTTCTCGTGGCCACCACAGAAGAGCAAGAGAAAAAACTTAAACATAACTTTTTCAAACTTCTGTATGGAGCATATCTGATTACATTCCATTGTTCAAAGCAAATCAAATGGTCAACAACAGAATGAAAAGGGACAGGAAAATAGACTTAATCTCTTCAATGAGAGGAATGCAAGGTTACACAATAAAAAGGGAGATGCAGGGAGGAATGAAGCATTGTGCCTATTGTTAACAATACTATATTGTGCACTTAAAAATTTAAGAGGGTAGATCTCATGTTAAGTGAAGAAAAGAAAGAAAGAAAGAAAGGAAGGAGGGGAAAGAAAAGCAAAATTAGAAAAAAAATCCGTATTGACAAAGCTTCCAAAAGCGAAGCCAGAAAAAAACATTTCTTTCTCTAGAAGATACAACACATTGACATGTCAGTAAGAAAACATCCATCAACCTAGCAGAAAAAAACATGAGCAAACTGTTAGAAGGAAGGTAAAAAGAAGTAAGGAAAGAAAGAAGAAAAAAACAGAGGAAGGAAAATTCACAGAATAAGAAATACAAGGCCGGGCACGGTGGCTCATGCCTGTAATCCTAGCACTCTGGGAGGCCAAGGCCCGTGGATCGCTCAAGGTCAGGAGTTCAAGACCAGCCTGAGCAAGAGCGAGACCCTGTCTCTACTTAAAAAATAGAAAGAAATGATCTGGACAACTAAAAAATATATATAGAAAAAATTAGCCCGGCATGGTGGCACATGCCTGTAGTCCCAGCTACTCAGGAGGCTGAGGCAGAAGGATTGCTTGAGCCCAGGAGTGTGAG